TTATTTATATATATATATATATATATATATATATATATATATGTGCGTGTGTGAATTTCTTTGTTTAGATATATTCTAGTTCTATCAAAATTTTTAACTTTAACCTTTTCTGATATATATATATATATATATATAAAAGTGGATGAGGGAGACAGATTGGCGTGGTCGAGTAGCCGCGTGCATTATCCAAATAAAAAGAAATATATTATTTACCTTTTTATAATTATATTTATTGTCATGGTGAAATTCCAATGGGCGTTTAAATATAAATAAAAAAGAAATGCTTAAATTAGGTTCGTCGGCACGTTTTCTCTATCTCCAGCTGTTAAAACCTTTGACAGCTCATTAGTTACCTTTTTTCTTGAATCTATAAATATGCTGAATTTTAAAAATTACAATAACATTTTTAAAAATTACAGTAACATTTTATAGGGACATTTTAAAATAGCTGAGCAAAGCCATTTTTTTAATTTTCCCTTCACACAAATTGAAAAACCTTCTTAATTCAAGATTGAATATTTATAAATATATGTTAAAATGCAGGATTTTATAATAATATAATAGTATTTTTAAAATTTTATATTGATTTCTATTTTCTTAGCTCCATAAATAGTATAACATTGGAGAAAAATCGTTTTAATTACTTATCCTTGATATTCTCTCTAGATTTTGAATTGGTTCACTTTTTGCAAATACAAAGTTTTTTTTTTGGTAAAATTTTGCAAATACAAAGTTCCAACTCTTAGACACAACTAATGTAAAACATTTAAAAAATCTTATGAATATTCTAAAATAAATAAAAAATAATATATATATATATATATATGTGTGTGTGTGTGTGTGAAACATCAATTCAGTTTATCCCAATGCATGGAAACAAAAAAAAAAATTGTTGAACATGGAAACATTTTTACCTTCTAACAAGTGTGATTATATTTGTCTTTTTGACCAAAAAAAAAGTGTGATTATATTTGTGTGTTTTTTTTTTGTACTAGAAAAGTTTAATAGAAGTAGATTGTTTTTTTTTTAAATTATATTTCGGTCCAGTTTTTAAAATCAAAAGATTTGATTTTTATTCGGTTTAATAAATTACAAATGAATTAAATTCTATTTTTGGTTTTATTATTAAACTTTTTCATCTCTTACAACAGTCATAAAATGGATTATACTATCAAAACTTATGCGAACAATGTACTCAACCTCATATATGTAGCTCTAAACATTTGATGGGTTCGACCAAACATTTGATATCAACGACCCAGAACACATAAACACATTTATATATATTATTATGTCAAATAAAAATAAAATTAAATTATTGCATGTATCAAATATTAAGATATAGTACTTTTTGACCCGACGACGTTAATTGATTTGGCGAAGATTTTGTTACAATGATATTTTATCCGAAACGCAATAAACGGTCAAAAGTCTTTATGCTTATCGCTTCGTCACAATGGGAGGCTTTTTAAAATTATTATTATTATTTAATAAATAGATTGTACCCCTTCGATTAAAAATTCCTCTTAAAAAAATTATCTGTCACGCACACGTCTATCTTAATTTTTATATGAATTTTTTATATGAATTTAATCGCTCTTTAATTTAGAAATCTAGATTACGATAATTAATAAGGATGGACAAAATACGGGTATCCATGCGCTTTACAATAAAATAGAGATGGTGTTTTAATATATTTAAAATCCAAAATTTAGATTCGGATTCTAGTTTGTATTTTCAGGTTAGGAATTATTACCCGAAGATATCTAAAAAGTAAACAAATAAATATTATACTTTCAAATTATTATAAAATTATAAATATATTTATTAATATCTAATTGTTTTTACCTGTATTTATGTAAAAAAATTATCATTGCAATCTATTTATTTTAAATATAAATATTTATCAATATTATATTATGGAAATTTTGATTTCTAAGAAATTAGATTTGTAGTCTATGACAATCTATATTCTATCTTATATAATAAAATAAAATAATAATAATAATAATAAATTAAATCACCTCACACAAACTCCGACGTGGCAGAGGATATCGTTACTTCCTGTATCTATCGTCATCTTATCATAATCTTAGCAAAATATTTCCATTAATTGCAATATTATACCATGCACGAACAATTACTAACAAAAGCATTCAAAACAAGATATTCTAGAATATTGTTTGCAATAAATGGAAAATTGAGTCTCCTCGAATTGGTAAAAAAATAATTGTAAAAATTCCGTATTTATCCCAAAAAAATGTATATTCAATTGTATAAAAAATGGAATTTTCGAAACTTTATATTATTGGAGTAAAATGTATCATAGAATCGAACCGAAAATTTAAATGTCATACTTTTTTTTTCTAAAGTTATAACTTTGCAGAACATTTTTAAAACTTTCAAATTTCTGAATGTAGTTTGGTTTCATGTAATGATATTTTATCATTAAATTAAAATGTCCATTCGTAGGGGTAGTTTAGGTAACAAGGTAAAAAAATATACGGGTTACCGCGAGCAAGACCTAAGCCCCGACAAGTCCTTGCAAAATCCAACTGGGCAGATTTATGCATATTCTTTTTCTTTCTTCTGTTTCCTTTTTAATTGTTTTTGGTTTCTCTCTCTCTCTCTCTCTCCCCCCATCTTCTTCCATTTTTTTTTTATACTTTTTCCTTTTCTTTTTCCACAGATTCTTTCCTTTCAAACTCTTCTGTAATATTTGTAGTGCCCATTGTTGAACATATCTTTGTTTCCATTACCAACCTTTTTTTTTGTCTCTCTCATATAAATAATGAATTCTATGTCTCTTTTCCTCGACTCGTTCACAGAAATCTTTCACCGGCTTTGAACCTAACGCACGTTTCATCGTTATCTGTTTTGCCCATCTGTAAGTCTTTATCTTTTTTGTTTTGGGTTTAATAAGTCTTTCATTATATCAAGATCTTTTTTTTCCGTAAGTTTTTGGCCTCTGAAGACTTTTCAGCCATTCTTGCGTTTGAAGAAGTGTGTTTTCTATCTATCTTCCTCTGTTTGGTTGCCGAGGAGTTGAACGGTTTTGATCGTTTCCTTTCGAAAGTTTTATTTTGTTGTTTGGGTTTGTGGATTTTATCTCTCTTTCTCGGCATCCAAACGGAGGGTTCTTGTTTCCACAGCGTTTAAAGCGTGTTTCTTTTTTCTGGGTAAGGAGAGGGTTCGAGAATTCTTGAAGTAATGCGTCTGTGTTTTTCTCGGAATCCAAACGGATTACACTTTTTTCTGTCAATCTTGATCGTGATCTTTGGAGTTTGTATGTGCAGTAGAAGAATCTGCGAACAGGACTTTGCACGGAACCTGTTTGTTCTCTGGCCTCTGTGTGGTTTTTACCACTGAGCCATCCCAGGTGGTTTTCTACTTCTCTTAAATTTCTATTTTTTCATCTTCCCGTGTGTATATATAATTTTTATCCATGCATCTATGTATTTAGTCGTCTGTTTAACAAGTGTTTAGTGTTGATTTCGATCTGCGTTAATTCTTTTCTCCATTCTTTTCTATGTATTTAGTGTTTAGTGTCGCGGTTTCTGGTGAACTAAAATTAAAAATCTTCCATATGATATATATCAGATTATTGATTCCTAAAGAGAGGTTAATGTAAAAGTCAGAAAAAGAATGATCTATTTTGGTTTAAATTGTGTTTCTTGCTTATAGGTTTGGTAGATTTTCCTGCCTACGAATGGATAAGAGACCTACAAAGTCTCCGTACTGTATTTTTGCTGAATCTTTGGTGGCCACCATTACAAGATAGACAATGTGACCTAATGTTTTTGATGACTTAGAGAAGATATCACTTAAAAATAAGGATGGGTTTTGTTGGTATTCGAATGACATCCTATCTGGTTGTCTGAAAGTTTATATAAAATAAGATTTCTAAGCCGGGTTTTCGGGTGAGGCATGAAGATGTCGTGGGCAATTGTTTTTATGATACAGCAAGGAACAGATCAGTTCAAAGCATGGAAGGATTAGTTGCCTTTGACTCAACCTTGCGTGTTAAGCAAACACTTGGTTGTTTTTGTCTGCGTTCGTGCAAGCTTTGATTATTTTATAAGACTCTGAAGTTTTATATAGGGAAATTTCATTGATAAAGTCTGCAATGGATATGCGTTAGGATGAAGGTGCTTGCCCATTTAAATGCTTTGCTATCCACCTTCTCGTTTTTATTTCATTTCCACACACACAAAAAAACTTGCCCCTTGGTGTTTTAATCTTTAGTCAGTAGAGCTATTTCAGATTATAATGGAAAACTGGTTTCTCTTGAGTTCCCTGTTACAATGTACAGAATCTTGATCTTTTTTCTGTGTTTCTTCCAACAGTTACTTGGCTCTAGTTGTCCGAAGGGCGAACATTTTAACAGAGGATATGTTTTCCGGGTCGTGTGGGAATTTGTTGGAGTTGGAGTCAGGGGACATGTACAATTTCCCCCAGGCTCCAAAGCTGTTGCCTCGTGTCATGACGCTTCCAGGAGTTATTCCTGAAGAAGAAGATTCAGACTCTTCTAGAGTCGAAAGCCGTGAGAAGAAAATTATTGTGGCAAATCATCTTCCCCTTAATGCTGAGAAGGACAGTGAATCCGGGGAATGGAGATTTTCTTACGACGAGGACTCCCTTCTCTTGCAATTGAAGGATGCCCTTCCACCAGGTACAGTTGTGGTTTATGTTGGCTCTCTCAAGGTTGAAATAGAAGCTAATGAGCAAGAGCAGGTGTCTCAGAAGCTTCTAGAAAAGTTCAACTGCGTTCCCACGTTTCTTCCTCCCGATCTTCACCAAAGATATTATCAAGGGTTTTGCAAGCATTATCTATGGCCCCTCTTCCACTATATGTTGCCGATATTCCAAGATTATGATAGCTGGTTCGACAAAACGCTTTGGCAGTCCTATCTTACTGTTAACAAGAGATTTGCAGATAAAGTGATGGAGGTTCTCAATGCTGAAGATGATTTTGTGTGGGTCCATGATTACCACCTTATGGTTATGCCGACTTTCTTGAGAAGGCGGTTCCATCGTGTGAAGCTCGGGTTTTTCCTACATAGTCCATTTCCTTCTTCAGAAATTTACAAGACACTGCCTGTGAGAGTTGAGATTTTGAGAGGTCTCCTAAATGCTGATCAGATTGGCTTTCAGACATTTGATTATGCTCGACATTTCCTCTCTTGCTGCAGACGAATGCTTGGCCTGACATTTGAATCTAAAAGAGGCCACATCGGTCTTGAATATCTTGGCCGAACAATCTATGTCAGGATTTTACCTGTGGGTATCCATATGGGTAGGCTGGAATACACCTTAAACCACCCGTCTTCTGCTGCAAAGGCGAAAGAAATCAAAGAACAATATGCAGGGAAAACGGTGATTCTTGGGCTCGATGACATGGATATATTCAAAGGCATCAGCTTGAAATTGTTGGCCATAGAGCAACTTCTGCAGCATGGTGAACGTTGGTGTGGAAATCTAGTGTTGATTCAAATCATAAATCCGGAAAGGAGCCCGGGACGAGACATCAACGAAGCAAAGAGAGAGATTTACGAAGTGGTGGAAAGGATAAACCATAAGTTTGGATCCCCCGGATATGTTCCTGTGGTGCTTATTAATCGGCTTTTGCCTCGCCATGAGAAGACCGCCTATTATGCTGTCGCAGAATGTTGCATCGTGAATGCGGTTCGAGATGGAATGAACTTGGTTCCTTACAAGTACGTGGTTTGCAGGCAAGGGAGTTCGAAAATGGACGAAGCCCTTGAAATCTCACCTGAGTCCCCTCATACGAGTACACTTGTCATCTCAGAGTTCATCGGATGCTCTCCTTCTCTGAGTGGCGCGATTAGGGTTAATCCATGGGACATTACCGGTGTAGCGGATTCATTAGCCAAAGCCTTGACAATGACAGAGACTGAGAAGCAATTACGCCACGAGAAGCACTACAAGTACGTTAGTTCTCATGATGTTTCGTATTGGGCAAAGAGATTTCTTCAGGACTTGGAACGAGCGTGCAAGGAGCATTACATCAACCGCTGTTGGGGCCTCGGGTTCGGTATCACATTCCGTGTCTTGTCTCTTCCTCCGAATTTCAGGAAACTGTCCATTGATCATATAGCCCCGGTGTATGAGAGAACAAGCAGGAGGGCCATTTTTCTTGATTATGATGGGACTGTGGTATCAGATTCATCCATAATCAAGTCTCCTGGAGATAAAGTGACCACCATTCTCAACGATCTATGCAATGATCCGAGGAACACCGTGTTCATAGTCAGCGGCCGAGATCGTGATACTTTGAGTGGTTGGTTTTCGGGTTGTGGAAAGCTCGGTATAGCAGCAGAGCATGGCTACTTCATAAGGTAATCCAGATTCTTTAAAGTTTAACTTTTAATTTGTGACCTGGGTTCAGTACCATTAAACCCTACCCTGTCTTGTTTTCTCGAAGGTGGTATAGGAACTCCGGGTGGGAAACATGCTGTTCGGATTTAGATTTCGATTGGAAAGGTATCGCTCTACCAGTCATGACTTCATACACGGAGGCAACTGATGGTTCTTACATAGAATCCAAGGAAACAGCCTTAGTGTGGCAGCACAAAGATGCAGATCCGGATTTCGGATGTTGCCAAGCTAAAGAACTTCAAGATCATCTCGAGAGTGTCCTTGCGAACGAACCAGTTGTTGTCACCAGTGGCAATCACATTGTCGAAGTGAAGCCTCAGGTACGAATATTCGGGTTTTCATGATCAAAGTTGTCATCTTTTTTATACCCATTTCACCAAATGCTTCTGATGTTTCAGGGAGTTACAAAGGGAGAAACAGCGAAGAAGATCCTATCCAAATTGATCGAAGACGGGAAACCTCTGGACTTTGTGTTGTGCGTTGGAGATGATAGATCGGATGAGGATATGTTCGGTGCCATATCGGATATGCAGCATTCTTCTGCGCCGGAGATCTTCGCCTGCACGGTGGGCCAAAAGCCGAGCAAAGCAAAGTACTATCTGGACGACAGTGAAAAGGTTTTGGAGTTGCTGAAGGGGTTAGGGACAAAAGAGACAGAGCAAGGAATGCAGAATTCAGATTAGGGGTCCTCGTTAGATTCATTTGGTCTCATGGAAATTCTTTGCACATACAAAAGAGAGCACTTGATTTTTGGACAGGGCTGGTGACCGCAACAGCTAAGCAACTGAAGCTTTATTTTTGGATTGTTTTTTTTTTAGTTTAGTTTTTCATGTTTTATTCTTCAAAATCTTTTAACTGATTCATTGTGTTTAGGTTGTAAATATTTGATATTTCTGGGGCTTTTAGGAGAGAGCGTCTAACATGCCACCGGATTTATGCAATTATTATTATTATTATTATTATTATTATTATTATTATTATATCCACAAAAATTTAATAATAAAACTAAAAAATTGAAGGATAATCCTTCGTTAAATCCAGAGAAAACGGCTCCAAATCTAGACAAGAGTTTAAACACGATATGAAAGTGGATGCATGGTAAACGAAGATTTCGTTATCATTGTTATTGATCTCTTCGCATCCAATTCCAAGATCATATTTATATACAATGTATACGCATCCGTATTCATGTTTTATACGATAAGTTTAATTCTAAAACCCCTAAGCAATCTATAACAAAAACTACAATCCAATTTTGAAATAGACCATCTCTAATCTTTGTAAAACTCCATTTAGGTTCTTATGTAGTATTTATTTAATAAAACCGTATCGTAACAAAACGACATCAATACCAAACCGAATGATATATGATACTATTTTTGTAAAAATTTTATAATACCGAATACATCGTTTTCAAATTAAACCGTTAAAATTCCAAAGCAAATACCGAAACGCAGGCCTCTAACCGAGATCGGTGCCTTTTATGGTTTTTTCATCCTCGAGGGAGTTAGGGAACCAAAATTAGCAGAACTCCTTGCGTTGTGATCTGTGCTTATAATTGTTTTACAAAAACAGAACATTTTTTTAATAATTTAAAAAGTTTGATGAATTTTTATTAAAAATAACAATCAATAATTTTTTATAATAAATTTAAAGTTACATTTGCTATTGAATAAATTCTATAATTTATTATTTTTAATTAATATTTATTAAAAATAATAATCAATAATTTATGATTTTTATAATAAATTTAAAATATAAGGTTTCTTATGGTAGATTAATATTTTATGGGTTTTTTTTTTCTGGAATAATCGCCGAGTTTTTCCCTCTCTTTTTTTTCCTGAAAAAAGATCCACTTTTAATTCAGAGAGTAAAACGCGACGGTAGGTTTTTTTTTATTATCAGTGATCAGTGGTGAAAAGCAAAAGCTTCGAGCAATCGACAATGGCGTCTCATCGCTTCACTTTGGTAGCTCTTCTCTTCATCGAAATTTTCTCTTCCGCTTCTCAGGTAACGCCATTTTTCTGACATTTCTCTTCTTCAAAACCCTAATTTTCTTTTGTTGGAATCGGAATGGAACGAAAGACGATTCTGGTATTTTTTTTTTCGTCTTCCATTCTCTCGCAGATTTACGCAGGGAGCGCGATCCGTGGAAGGATCGAGCTTCACTTCTCGCCGTTCGCCTCAGCTCTTGAGACGTTGCAGAAGCAAATTGGGTATTGCTTTTTTACGTCATTTCTTTTGATCGTGTCGTTCAACTTCAAGGATATTGAATTTTCATTGTTTTCCTTTCTCTTTTTTTTAGAGAATGTGTATTTGGTTGCTGAGAAAATCGTGAGGACGTTTGAAGTTGCTTTTCTCCATTAAGGTTTTTGTGTATTTGAATTTTCTTTCTTGGAGAGTGTTTGGTAGCTGAGAAAATTGGGTGTAGTATGTTACGTCGTTTCTTTTGATCCTTATTCTGTTCAACTTCTAGGGTCTTCTTCTCTATGTTGATTGCGATTTATTGAGCTTAGAGGATTTCTTTTACTGGAAAGTATTTGGTTGGTGAGAAACTGAGCAGGAAAGACTCTACTAATTGAGCTTAGAGGACTTGATGAGTTGCATTAGCTGTGGATCTTACACGGGGAAGAGATGGAATATATATGAACATTGTCCATGACCCTGTATGCAAGTTAGCAACTTTTTGTTTGCATTAGAGAGATAAAGAACTGAAAATCCACATCCTGTAAAGTGTATTGATCTAAGGATATTCTTCTTTGATTTCCTGTTCTTATTCCAGCTACAATTTCTCCAACACCAATCTTCTTCGCCGTGCCATGACTCATGCTTCCTACTCGGAAGAAAACAACAAAGCTCTGAGCATCTTGGGAACCCATATCATTGAAACCTCAGTCTCTCTACATTTCCTCACAAAAGACATTGATGTGTCATCGAAAGAGCTGAACCGTCTGATATCAGAGGTTTCAAACGTGAATTCATCGTGTGCCCTTGACGGGAAGCGGCTAGGTTTGCAAAAGATCATCAGGGTTTCTCACAAGACAGACGCGTCAAACTCTGTCATCATCTGTGGCGCCTTTCGGGCAATCTTTGGAGCTATTGCTACTGACGCCGAAATGGTTGATGATGCCATCAAGGTTTTCTGGAAGGTTCATGGTGGCCAGACTGGGAAAGTAGTTTCCGCGTAAGTTTGAAGCTCTCATCCTGGATTTTCGGTTTGTTAATTTTGCTGAATGCATGCAAGAGTGTCTTCTTCTTTAAGGACTAGATATCGGTTTGTTGCTAAAAGAAAAACAAAGAGCTTTGTTAATGTAAATTAGAAGATGATCCACGATGTTGTTTCCTCGATTCAATTTGGTCCTGAGTCCTGATGCATGTGTTTTTGCTTGGTTGATGATGCGAGTTCATTTCGTCACTCAAGTTTCATACTTCTACCACTTGTTTCTCTTCCACTACATTTTTTGTTCCGACATGTTTTCGTTGTTCTTAGAGAGCCATAGTATGCCCACGCTTTCGTTATTACTTCATCATTCGAACATCTTGTTGCTCCGACTTTGTGTAGTTTCCGAGTTTGTTGATGAACTGCAACTGAACTGAGAACTGCACAATCTGAAGCGTCAATTAGATTTGGAGAATGAATGAGAATATCCAATATTTTGACTAAGTTTGTATTGGAATTGTTTTTTTTTGTTTTTTTTTTATTTTGTTTGCCTTTAGACTTGTATCTCTGATATCATGATTCTCAATATTATTAGGTTTAAAAGTATACAATTATATAGATACAAAGGGAGAGATTTGTGTGACATACGGATCCTATATGTAAGGAAATTGTCTGATATACAAGATTATAATCTCTAAACATGGTGGTGTGATGAGAAGCGCGTGTCTATCACTTGCCCGCTACTCTTTTTTGTTTTTTAAATTTATCAATTATTCCAATCATTATCTGCTGTACAAATCGTTATTAAGACTTTTTTTTTTAAAAATGGTGTTTTATATGTTGTGTATATCATCTGCCTGATATTTTTTGGTTTATATTTATTTTTTCAATTCGCATTGGATCAAATTAATTCGTAGTTTGGGTCAGTCTGTAGTCGGGTGTGTCGGTTGCTTAGTTCCATGTGTAAGATTTATATTTAATTAATATTTAAAAATTTAATAATTAAATTAAAATTATAAAAAAATATTCAGTTTTACAATCTAGGAGGGATTTTTTTTCCTTTTCTAATTCGAATTAAATTTAATATCCAAAATATTAAAAGTTATTAATGCGTATTTAATCTTTACTCATTATCTGACTCATCTGCTACAATGATATTGTCTGCGAACATTATGCATTATGATACTTCTTTCTTTATATCTCTAGTCAATTCATTCATGACTAATGCGAAAAGGTACGGATTTAAAACGAACCCTTGTTGTAATCCTATCGAGATGAGAAAATTTCGCGTGTCACTCACTTCTGTTCAGACACTAGTGATTACACTTTCATATATATCCTTCAACATTTATATATATCTTATTGATCTCTCTACACTCTAACACCCACCATAAAACCTCTCTTGATATTCGATCATAAATTTGTTTTTAGATCGATAAATACCATGACTTTCTTCCATGGTAGACATTCCGGACATAAAACCAAATTGATTTACGGAAATAGATTTCGTTACGTAAACGTCGCTCTACAATCTTTTTCCACAATTTCATGGTACGACTCATGAGTTTGATTTCTCTACGAAGGAAAAAAAAATATGAAGCCAAGTTCAATATTATGAATACTAACAATCACACCTATTGAAACCGAAAGTTGGCTTCGGTAAGATGATTCTGGTGAAGTAACGGAATTCATTCTCGTATCAAGATAGTTTCAAAGAGCACTTGTAACTTCATGACATCCATTTCTCTCCTTTTGCTTGGAGAAGACATCTTCATCTCCACGAAATGGACAACGCAACCGAAGAGTTTCTGTTAAATCATAAGAACAATATGGCTTATGGCTTAAACCCAATCCAGAGAGGCGGAAGAAACAACAGCTGATGATAGCAAAGTGTATCACCAAGAGCAATAAATGATCTAAAGAAGCTCCAACGGTTGAACTCTACAAAGTTCCAACAATAAATGGAATGACAGACTCGGGAAATCAAAATCAGAAAACAAAAGTTTCCCCAGAGGTCGAACAAGGAAAGCACTGTTCAAGAACAAACATCCAATCCACAAAAGCAGCATAGAGAATTTAGTCTCCAGTAGAGGCACCAAACCCATCAACGGGTTGAAATTGCGCAGTCTGAAGGAAGTCGATTCTCACGATCCTTCACATGCTTTCACTTTTTTTCTCGACCAAATTATGATGACCCAAGAGAAAATTTCCGCATGGAAGATCAGTGGCTGTTTCCACGTTCAACAAAGCACGAATGTCTAATCTGACAGACAGAGCGATGATTTACGATCTGAACATCCAATGAAAATGTCGACGGATTCATATGCACGTGTTGTCATTGCAAATTCGGAAAAGTGGAGACAAACAGGAAAACACAAATTGTAGGATTTTTTGAAAATGTAGAATGACAAATATTTTGAAACATGAAAAATAACCTAAAACTGCAAATAAAATGGAGGGGGTAATTTTTAATCCAAATTCAGATATGGCTGCAAAGTTTTTCTTTATATATATATATATATATGCTCATTAATTATAAGAGATCTCTGAAGTTCTGAACTTTGGGTTACTTGAATTGAGTTTTGTATAAAGTCCAAATCCTAGATTTGAAGTGAGAAACAAAACAAGGTTACTTTAATAAGAAAAACATCCTTCTTTTGTGTTTTTTAAACAGAAACCTGAATAACTTTTTACTAGTCTAAGTGTGTATGATAGTTTCTAAAGGATAGTGATAATCCATTTCCGTTGGAGAAAGTCAAGCATCTAACATAAAAACGTCCTTTCTAAACAATTTATCCCCTATCTAAATTATTCCCTCCTATCATCTTTCGAATTTTTAGGTGAATAATTAGACATGTTATCTTTCACCATCATAATTTCTAAATCGGTTGACCTTCACACTTCCGTGTCATCATTATTGGTCAAATGGTGAACTAGTCACGTAGATTATCAAGACGACATATCATTCAAATGAGTCATATATATTATATGGACGACATATCAGCACTAAAGTGTACAAAGGGTATTTAGAACAAAAAAGATGAGTACATTTTATATATGTAGTTGGAAGTCCAGATTTTTTCTATCAAAAGTTCAAGTTTTTTCTTCCAATTTTTCTTCGTATTATTATTATTAGTTTCGGTAGCCATAGTTATTGCAAAAAAAAAAAAAAAAAAAAATAAGGATGCAAATAACGAAAGCAAAGACAGCTTAAAGGAGTTTGAAGATGGAACACCAAACATAGCCTAAGCTTCATAAAACAACACAGTCACACTCCTCTTCTCTTCTTCAACCATTCATTATCAAGACATCAAAACTCCATCGTCACCTATTTGCGTCCACGATTACAAGCACCAAACATACACTACTTGCCTCGTCATTATCAATCCTGTTGCTTGATTTCGAAGAGTAATGTGAATGCACTGAAACGAGTTTTTGGGAATGCAACATCGTTGTCAGAAGCTGGGCTAATAACACCAGCAAGGGCATGCTTTCTTCTTTTTCCAAACTGTTAATAAGAAGATGTATAAATGAACAAAAAAGAGATATCTACAGAGGGGGCAAACTGATCGCAGTCACCTAAGATCAAATTTATGCCATGGGGAAGAAACAAAAGCACCTGGAGACGCAGATTTTCTTTATGCTAATAAAGTTAACACAGAGGCTGTGTGTATTAATGAGCAAACCATCAAATAACTCACCACCCTTTCCCTCTGTGGCTGTGGGACGACTCCCAAGGTGTACGAGGTTTCCCCACACCTGATGAACCGGAAGAACAAAAATATGGAGTCAATGTCAAATAATAACAGAACTGTCTGCAATAGAGACGACAAAGTACTCACCATGTTTTTAGTTCAATGCCACGAAGATTGCTTATATCCTTCCCATCCTCCATCAGGCTCCTTCCTCCTCAGAACGCCACCGGGCGTCTGAAATATCCTTGCTTGCTCCTCCATGAGGGTCTGTGAACTGGATGCTGACAATGGCCTTGAGGGTGCAACAGAGGATGCTTCGTTTCTTCCTTCGGTATCTGGGACTCCAGGGCCAGTGTTTAGGTCTAGGTCCTGCCTGAACCATTTTCTGCTAGGTTCTGAACCACCGCCACTGTTATTACCATCCGTGAGATTAACAACGTAAGATCGTGGATAATTGGACGGGACAGCAATGGCTGGCCCCAGCAGTTGAGAGTTAATGGGAGGAAAACTAAGCCGTCCAGCAGATGAAGAGTCCACATATGTAGCAGAACCACCAGAGAAAGTGGCCGAAGATAGAGGGAAACTGGTACCGAAGGAGAAGACTGGATACTGAAATGGAGCAGTAGCCTGGAACGGAGCAGCAGGGGAAGAAGACAAGATGGGCCCTCTATACAGATCAGGATTTAAGGAGGAGGGACCATTTGTTGGACCTAAAAATCTCTGCGGCCCACCGCTTGCAACTATCGGGAAAGGCATATCTCTATCAGGCATAACTGAGGGGGGTACAGTCGCTGAGTAACTGGCTGTGGGAAACCATGATGACAAGTTCCCCATATCGGCGCCATTAACTCGTATACCAGGAAGGGCTGGCTGCGAAGGCAAACTGCTTCTAGCAGTATTTTGAGCAAATATGGTTGATGGTTCGGGATTTATATCATCGACCACAGGTCCATTATTCAGATCGAAGTCCCTCTGTCTGCCTGCTTCATCAGTCATTCGACCACTTGATACTTGTCTACCAGGCTGAAAAGATGCATCCAACTTGTGACTGTTGCCAGCATAGTTTCCAAAATCTGTGGTTTCATCAACTCTGTTCAAATCAAGATCAAGTCCACCAGCAGACTGCGCAGGGGCAGAACCCATCTTCTGATCATATAAATAATTATTTGAAATACCACATATCGAAGCCTGACCTGATGTTTGGGAGACCAAATCTTCTAGGACTCTCTCATCTGGAACATTCAAATCAATATCAAGTGGAGGCCGACTCTGTTTTTGAGTATTACAATCCAACCGAGCAGTATTATTTGTTGCATGCAGTACCTCGAGAGAATTCCTAGGTTCAGCCGGACGAAATGCACTTGTAGCAGCTGAACCTTTCCAACCATGCACCCTTTTGTTCTTCAAAAGGTCTTCAGGTGGAACAAAGGGCCCCTTTGCAGCAGTGGCTACTGTTATTGAAGCAGGAAACGGTGTAGAAAATTGAACATGTGTTGATATTCCTGCTCCTGCTAAGTTACCAAAATCTACATTCCTCCCATCATCTCCACTGAAGCCTTCATTTAGATCAAACTCAACTTTTGTATCTCTGTCTGCAACAGAAGAAGAAGAAGCATCTCCAACAACAGAAGTAGACTCGTCTGTCTCGCCCGCCCCAGAAGTGTTCAACCTGGATTCCCTCCCTTTTGTACTCTGTTCTCCTTTGTCCTTAACCATCAAAGAGGAGGATACTGTTGGATGAGACTGTACACCAGATTGCTGCTCATTATCTTCTTTACCATCTAAATTCTCCCCAACATGCTCAACTTTGTAGTTAGTTAATGATGAAACTAAACCAGCCCCTACTTGCTTCCCACTAGCAGAAGACTCTCCCTCGATTTTCTGCCCCTTTGTAGGATCACGATGACTGTCTGTCTCCATTTCATCAGTCTTCTCAGCTTTAAGCTCATCAACATTTGCAGAAACAAGAGGCAATGTGGAGTCATCAGTTCCTGTTACTACTTCAGAACTTGATTTTATGATTGGCGGCTTCAGTTCATCCTTGTTACTTTGATTGCTTTCTAAGAATGGTTGGGAGCCGGAAACTTCATTCTCTACTTTCACACCTGAGTCACCAATTTTATTATCGGCTGACAACTTTTGTTTCGCATCTGAAACACCATCAGCAAGGATGCCATCAGCTACTATGTCTTTGGATTCTTTGATCATATCATCATCTGTAGTCTTCATAATCTCATTTGCAGAGGACACGGCAGTTGATGTTTTTTCTGCATCTCTAGACTGTCCATTGTTCCCTAAGCACTGATTTACAGGGTGCTTCAGAGCAGAAGAATCCAATTTCCCACCCATATCAGCTACAGGGTCAAAGTGTGACTTGATTTCAGCCTCTCTTGGCCACACGTTACCACCAACAAAGTCCTGCTTCTCATTTTCCATTTTTGCACCATTAATGGGAAGAGCCTCAGCAAGATCATCAGAGAACAAATTCTGCCTTGAATCATTTCCGACATACGAGTTCTCATTTGTCTGAGGTGAACCAGTTGGTGAAACCATTTCGGACTTAGAAATTTCATCAGCTGCTACGCTAGCAAGAAGATTCATTCCGACATCATCTCCAGCTGCTACAGGCGCATTAACCTCGGAATACTTCACACAACTTTCAACTAAAGCATTTATGGAGCTAAAAGGATTCTCATGTGGTTTCCCTGGAAGCTCATTCACAGATTGCGGTGAACTTGCTTTCGGGACTTCAGGCATTTTCCTAGAGTCATCTACTGTCCTGCATCGCTCTTCATTTGGAATAGATGGAGAACCTCCACCCTCATCTGTACCAGCCAGTGCATTTTTGCTATCATTGCTCTGCCACGACTCATTATGCACATCGGAGCTAATAATTGCCCTATGTGTATCAGACTTTTCTTCTTGCAGATTCTGATCAAGTTGATCATTCTTCTCGCAAAGTACAGGAGAAGAAGCTCTGCTATTCACAGCTGCAACATCTTCAATGGATGCGGTACCAGTGGTTTGCGAAGGACAGCGGTCCAGATTTGGTATCTTGACAATCAATTTATGAGTATTACCCTCAGCTGCTGGTACTTCATAAGCCTTTTCACATGTGGAATTGAACTCTGATACTTTCTCTGAACTGGAATTACTCCTTGGCAGCGTAGAATTTCTGACTGAACCACTTTCCCTATGACCTGCTGATGAGACAGACCCCTGAAAACCATTGACCGATCTCCGGTGGCGAGAAGACCCACCTGAGCTCTTATTCACGTTTAGTGATCCTGTGGTGGTACACCTTGAATCCTCCTTTCCTGAGATACCCCCTGTTTTAGCATGGTCGCTCGAATAGCACTGACTATTATTGTGAGATGGACTGGAGCTACTGCTTTTCTCATCCCTTAAAGATATTGGAGGAACATCAGATACAGCAACACCACCAGAATTTCTTTGTTGTCCCTCTTTCATGTTCAGACCACCTGATGTGGGTGACAGGGCTGACCTTGTAGCGCCAGGGGATGGAGAAGCAGATTTTGTATTATTTTCCCCTTGGATCAGTTTAACCGAAGACAATTTAGAAGAATGGGAGTGTGATATTGCAGTCTTTATGGTTCCATGAGGACTTTCAGGCAGACGCCTTCCAGTCCATGAAACACCCTGTCCAGAGCTTGACTTAGCATCCATTTCAGCTTCAACACGCTTTTTCCATGTGTCAACCAAACTCCTTGCTTTCCTCTGAATCTCAACATTCTTATGCGATCTCAAATGATTAACAGATTTCCCAATGTTGCACATCTGAAGTGCATGGAGATTAACAGGCAACTTATCCAAAGCACGTAATAATACTAATACGAACTCTTCAGTTGATCTATCTCCATCCTTGGGACTAGTACCATCACCCATCTTCCCTTTATGCACTTCCTGAAGCCATTCATCAAACACAGGGAGTCCTCTCAGCTGAACGAATCTGCTAAGACAATCATACTTATCTGTTGCTGCGACTACACCAGCAAGCATTGATCGGCTTGTTAAATCTATTTTCCTTTCAGGCAACATGAGTTGGACTAACTTCTCGACCCCATCCGAATCCATGAGGCCCCCCTTTTCCGTAATATTTGCAATCTCACATCTTAAAGTAATCTCCCATTTATTATGAACAGAATCAACATCTTCAACCCTCGCGGCACATTCCCGTTTTACAGGCTCGAAACCTTGATCCACACGTTCCCTCTTCTTCCCTTTCACCTGAGAAGGAAAGGAAGAGCCACTATTCTGTACACTATCAGAAATTGTCTTCAACTGTGATGTCGATGTTGGACCATTCATTGGTTTCGGTGAGCGTCCACCTTGCTGTACTGTTGCATGCATTTCCAAATGTGTCTTACACAATAGCTGATCTACTTCTTCCTGCTGTTCCTGCAAAAAGAAAAGTTATCTTCAGCGACAAAGCAAAGAAAAAACTAATGAAAATTTGATCCGTTGGAAAGAGCACGTATAAACTCACATCAATATAGTCTTGATCTGTCAGCCACCATAAACACTTGTGGGTGATGTCATATACACGCCAACACACAAACGAGCAAATCCCAGATGGCAGTTCAACGCATTTAGGAAGGAAAGCAACTTTACACGGGTGAAGTAAGGATGCAGCAGGAGAGGACACGGCAGTTGATGTTTTTTCTGCATCTCTAGACTGTCCATTGTTCCCTAAGCACTGATTTACAGGGTGCTTCAGAGCAGAAGCATCCAATTTCCCACCCATATCAGCTACAGGGTCAAAGTGTGACTTGATTTCAGCCTCTCTTGGCCACACGTTGCGGTTTTTAGGAATCTCATCCTTATGAAAGGAGTAAAATATTTCGTTTGGCGCAGCGTCCAAAAGGATGCCTTTGCCAAGCTTTACTTCAGCAGGTCGATACAGCCAATTCACACCCAAGTTGAGCTGATTCTCCCCTACAGAAGTTACTGAGCGAATTATTCCTATGAATGGTGGGCAATCCTGCGGTGGTTTAAACAAAGCGCAATCACCAACGCTGATTTTGCGTCCGTCCTGCAATAGGAATAAAAGAAAACAATTAACTTCCCAGAAATCATATAGATTGATCTCAGTTCCAAGATAATGACTACTGGAAACACATTAAAAAAGAAACAGCAGAGCAGAACTTAATAGTCGGAAATAGAACGAGGTGTCAAAGGAAATCACATGGAAATGTAACTATAATTTCATCTCAATTAACAAAACAGAACATTTTCAGACAAACCAATGATACTTCCTCATTTAGAGGATATACAACAGTAGCAGACAATCTTTTTGGGGGTTCCAGTTCATGTAATACATGGTGAAACTTCAAAAGAACGGTTGTTTCAAATCACTAGACAGAACAATGACAAAGCAGTAATAATGTAGAGATCATCACCACCCGCAGACCACTATTATGCAGTCACTTGTAAAAATCATTTATGTATGGGGGCCTGAATGTCGAAGAGAAATCCCGAAGGCAAGAAAAGGCCAACATTTAAGTGGTTATGTCTCAGTCTAGAATCCAAACTATTAGCATTTTTAGATTGTAATGTGTTTATCACTTTTAGCCATCTTTATTCCGCACATGATTCCTTCAATTATATCCAAGAAACACTAGACAATATTATTGTTCTGAAAGACTGAATCCCAGATGTATAATTAAGAAATCCTCTTTATTACTTCTGCAACAGACAACTTCTCATGAGCAAATCCCAAACTAGAAGCTCAAAAAGCCTTGCCTCAGCTTCCTCCCATAAAAAAATACGAGCCAGGGCATCAAGTCATGGGAGCAACACATGCTTAAAAGAAGCCCAGGAGCAGTTCTCCCAACAACAAAATGAACGGAATAACGGACAAATTTTAGAGAACCCCCAATGAATGTCCAAAGCAGTAACTTCTACCCATAACCGCTCTCAATTACATGCATAAGTTTCGAAAATTGCACCTCGATCCTCTCAAAATTCTACATATTTCCAGAGGTAACATCTTCCCTTGGTCCAACTATTTCAAGCTCCCAAACAGTTCATCCCTTCAACCAGCCTCCAAATGGGCGACATTTCAATAACACCGGCACCAACCACTAAGAATCGGACGGCATCAATTTGCCCCAATCCAACCGATAGCTCCAATGCTCCGAATTCACAACACCCATTACCCATATACATCCAAACAAAGGATCCAGAAAACAAAAGCAAAGAAAATCACAAATTCAACTATACGAGGATTACCTTGAAGAAGGAATTGGTTGAAGAAGAGGACAACAAAAGCGACGAAGAAGTTACAGCAGCAGAAGAAGAAGATGCAATGGTTTTTACACTCGCAGTTGCACGCGAGGGAGCTGTCCACATGTGCCGTCTCCTTTTCCTCTCCTCACATGCCCTCCCATGCATAGCCACCTTGCATTTTCCCCTTCGAGAACCATCAATCCGCGCCTCCTTTCACAAACTTCCCCCTTTTATCCGTCCCGAATTTCCAAACCCCTTCAAAAGCGAAATCTCACAACTCCCAATCACCGGAAAACCCTAATCCACAATTGTTCATCCACAACAAACCATCCTTAATCCACCAAACCTACACCGAATCGCGAACTCTAGGGTTTCGATGTTGACCCGATACGCCGATCCAATCAAGCCGCAGATCCGTCGAATTAACAAACAAACCCAACACACAATCACGCTCACGTCTCGATCCAGAGACAGGAAATTCCGTGAGGAAAAAAAAAACAGAAAACGATCTGAGAGAGAAATCAAAGACAAGAGAGAGAAGTAACAAGACGGCGAAAAAAAGGGAAAAAATAAAAGGCTTAGTTACATGGTCGAGCCGAACGGGCAGTTCGGGCAGGAAAACTCGGGCAGGGGATGAGAGAATGATAACGTGACAGGGCTGTTTGCATTTTGTGCATAGAGAGTTGACCGATATAAGCGAGAGAATTTTGACTTTTCTTTTTTAAACTAAGGGGGGGCGATTATCTTTAAAAGTGAGGGCGCCACGGTATTCGCTTCGCTATTTATTCACTTTTAGTATCGGTTTATTTGATTCGATTCAATTATATTCAATTTTATTATGTGAACCAAATAAAATTTTAAATTTTATATTTACACATAAATTCATACATAATTATAAATAATTCATATTTTTATTCAGTATTTATCGGTTCAGTTTGATATTTTATCGTTTCGGTTCATAAACGGATTATTCGGTTCAATGAAAAATTATGCAAAATTAGTATCAAATGTTATTTGTTTCATTTGATCGATTTCTTTTCGGATCAATTCAATATTGAATTCTCGAACCAAAATGTCTACCCTGGGTTTTGGGGCTCGGGGGCTTTATGCTATGCCCCTTTTTTAGCAAGGAAAACTATGATGTATTTTTTGGGCTTTGTCTTTATGAGAGGATATAAGGGTAATTCTACAATAAGGCGAAATGAGTTTAAGATTGTCCGTAGATGTGGCAACACGTTCCCAAAAGATAGATAGTGAGGTAAATGTTCTATTCTTGGAATTTCATTTAATTTTTTAATTATTTTTTAATTTCAATTTTTGACAGAACTTTTTTTCACTAAACAAATATTCTTTGTTTGAGGACATGTTTTTAGTGAGAGTTGTATCAAGTTTGGTGGATCTTAATGTCGATTAAATATAATTAAAAATTTTTAAAAATATTATTTAAAACAGTTTGCTGATATTGAACTAACTATATTTATGCCCTTTTCTTAACGTTTATATTATTTCGTTCAATTATACCTGTATGAAAAATAAAACTGAAAGAGAAAACAACGATTCAAATTTAGTTATAACATTCACCAACATTTTTGTTGCAACTTGAATTAAATCTTGGTAAGAAATTTATTAAAGATTTTATGCGTTTTGATTTGAAATCACCTTTTAAATAATAAATTTAACTATATTAGAAATTTAAAAATTATTTTGTTTTTTATTTTGAATATGATATTTAGACAAATCTTGTTTTGCTATGAAATGCGATTATGTGTTCTGTTAAAGAAACAGTTAAAGGAAAGAAGACAGACACATCCAAAAAGAAAAGACAAAGCACATATTCGGAGAGTTTTGGAGAATCCGGTTGAAAAGGCTATAAAAAAAACATTCATCGAGGGGATTGTCGAGAACATTGCTATTGCAGAGCATCGAGCGTGTGATCGGTGAGAGAGAACTGTAAGGGAAACACTGATGAGAGTTATCTGAGAGAGCGTGAGATGTACATGAGGGAGAGTCTTTCAACAACAGGCGAACTGCTCATTGGGTCTAGACATGGTCTAGAGCGACATTGGTGTGCGTTGCACACAGTGTATGTGAGTCTGGTAGAATTTCTTGTGATATTAGGGTTTTATCCAGAGAGAATGAAACTGGTGAGAGTTGAGTTCTACTTGGATGGGATTGGAGTGTATTTGACTCGTATCAAAGAAATAGAATCAGTTTGAAAAATTCTTGATTTGAAAAATAATATGAAAGTGTTTTTTAGACATGATAAAAAAAAAGCTTTGTAAAACTGAACAAGTTCATTGGTTCTGATTGATTTAAATACGACATGTAAAACCCATTTCTCGTAATGAAAATCCAATTTGTACGCTCACACATAATCTCAATTCTCTGTAATCTCATTTTTAAATTTTTATACATATTGGGTTTTAAAATTTATTATTTTTTATCTATTAAATGTTAATTTTCATTATTTTATAAATTATAGATAAATTAAAACAAATTCATAAGGTTTGATAAAGAAAAGATTAAATAACCCCAATCATGTCAGCTATGCATATCGGATGATGAGTCACATTTCCACATATTCTTTAGTTGTGCCTATAGCTCGCAGATATGGTATACCTTCGCATCTAGGATCTTGGCAAACCCTCTCATTGAGCTTGCTCGTTGCACGAAAATAGATAAACAACACCGCACACAACCAGCACCGAAACAGGGAATTATTTGCGAAATTAGTGCTGCAGATCTTGGTCTATCTCATTTGGAACGAGCGCAATTCCAGAGTTTCCGGAAGTCGGCAGGCCTCTGTGGGGGAATCCTGCGCCGGACTCGATCGCTTGGTCCAGGACCGTGTTCTATCCTTGTCGGACTCCACCAAGCCCAAACTCATTCGCTCGGCGACTTGTCGGTTAATGACCGAGTCTCTCTGTATGCAAACTATTGAAAAATATTTGTTTATAAAATTAATCCTTCATCAACAAAAAATAAGTTTTGGGTATCCAAACTCGATTTCGTCTCCATGGATTTTGGATTCAAGATATATCAACATCGGTTTCATGGGATTCAGATACCACGGCTGATGATCAAGTATCACGCTACTAATATCAACAATTTTTTTTAAACGTTATTGTTTCCAATTGACCGTCGAAGGTATAACAATAAATTTAGACCGAATAAACCTAGATATTATTTGTTATAGTAAATCCACCATTCTCGATTTTGAAGAGTTACATCTAACATACACCTAGGAAAAATCTCAAAGATATAGTTTTTAACTTTTGCTATTTTTTTTTATCATACAATTTTTAGTCGTTAAAATCAACAATATGGAAAATATATATTTTAAATCTCAAAAACTTACATTTTCCCTTTCATTAAGTGTTAGAATTTTGGCTATGCAACTATACTCTTATCAAACTCGAAAAAACAAGAACAAACAAAAATTACTGGAGCTTTAGATTGCTTTATCTTTGTCCAACTTATCAAAATGGTTAAAAGAATTAATCTTAACAGTAATTTTACACAAAAAAAAAATGTTGCAACTTTTCGTGCTGTAAATAAAAACGATGTTCGAATTATCCACGTAAGAAAACAATACCAACTAATTCACAACATAAATAATTTAGTAGATTTTTGAACACAATACTGATAATAGTCTACGATAACACAAATCAATAGAAACATATTTTCTATCAATCTATATAATATTATAAACCATTTACCTCTATCTATTTTTCTAGTGTTACACGAGTGATAACTACAAGAAACATTTACATACATATATACAAAAAGATTCATCTTCACTTTGATTATTACCAGAACAGCGGTTTTTTACGTAGACAAAAAGACACCATTTATGCGACATAATTTAAACGTCTTTGGATGTGCAAACACCTACGTACTCACATACATATATACAACACCATTATTAACTTACGTTGTGAACTTCTCAATATCCCCCGAGCTGCTCGTCACGGCTTGTGAGGGGAACGTACCTAACCGATGTTTCGGTATGCACACTAGTGGAACCATCCTCGTTTTTGTCAAATACCTTCAAGTCCTGAAAATAGGTTCCGACTGGAATCACCATTCGACCACCGGGCTTAAGCTGGTCCAGAAGGGCCTGCGGGATTTCTGCAGCTGCTGCTCCTACGTGTATTGCGTCGTACGGTGCAAAGTTGGGCCAACCTTTTCTTCCATCTGCCACAAGAAGAACACAAAAATGAGTTTGTTTTGTAATAGGACTGGGTGTGGATACCTAAACTCAACAGATCTGCGGGTATCCGAGATTCGGGAACTCGACGGCCAGCAAGTGTAAAGTCATATCCTTCGTCCATGAGAACCCGATATGTATGTTCGAAGTTCGAGCAAGGGTTCTCTCAGGTGAAAACTCGAACCCACGTAATTGTCTCTCCTCTCTCTCTCACCACCTCCTCACCACCAGCGGCTCGCCCTCTCTTTCACCCTCTCTCATTTCCTTGAGACATTGCGCAAGGCGCAGTTTTGAGGGTACTAGGGGCAATAGTGAACGAGGGCTGCGAGGTCGGGTTTTTTCCGAGGACATTTTAAGGACTCCATGGAAAAGTGAAATCCATAAATGCTCAAAGTTAGGGATTTCATTCGACAGACTGGGTCCCCTCGCATTCGCAAGCCTTGCGAATGGTGATCTCGGCTCGGCCTCAGCCTCAGGGACAAAAGAGACAGAGCAAGGAATGCAGAATTCAGATTAGGGGTCCTCGTTAGATTCATTTGGTGGTGTCTCAGAAGCTCTTTCACCCTCTCTCATTTCCTTGAGACATTGCGCAAGGCGCAGTTTTGAGGGTACTAGGGGCAATAGTGAACGAGGGCTGCGAGGTCGGGTTTTTTCCGAGGACATTTTAAGGACTCCATGGAAAAGTGAAATCCATAAATGCTCAAAGTTAGGGATTTCATTCGACAGACTGGGTCCCCTCGCATTCGCAAGCCTTGCGAATGGTGATCTCGGCTCGGCCTCAGCCTCACCCTGCCACTCTCACTCTGGTCGTTCGCGACATTAGGTGCACCTCGCCTCACCCGATCTGCCTTTCTCAGAAAACAGAATTGAATCCGAATGGAATGAAATCCTATGTAAAAACCGAATTGGAATCGAGTACGAATCGATCGGAATCATATGTAAATTTCGAATTCAAATCGAATCCGAATCGAACGTAATTCTATGTTCGAATTTGAATCGAATCCGAATCGATCGAAATCCTATATAAAAATCAAATGTGAATCTAGTAGACATTGAACCGAAAATTTTTTTTTTATATAAAAAACGAATTCAATTTGAAATGAACTAAATCCAAATAAGTTAATTAATAAGAAAATTAGAATCAATATGTTATTGGGTTGGATTAACCCAAACGGGTTGAGATTAAACTCGTTGGGTAAGCCATCCTTAGATGTAGTTATGGAAGAAATTAAGAAAGATAGTTTTTATCCATTACTATGTTTATCTATAGAATTATATGTCAATATTTGTAAGAGTTATTGTAGTCTTTAATGCTGCAATCATCTCGATGTTTTGGAAGGTAGCCAAGCATATGATATTGAGTCTTTTGAACGTACCGCCAGCGTGTACAGATAGAGATCCTTTCTTCAGCAAGGGAGCCACAGCACTCTTACTTATATTCTTGACAGATACATCAACCAGTTCCGAGATATGTTCCACGCCAACAGCCCGACCCTCTGGTCCGACCATCAAAGCAAAGCAGGCAGTCAAGTACCCGGTCCCTACAAAAAAAGGAACAACATGAACACATCGATATGTATAAGCTTCATTACCTGAAGCCAATCACATGAAGAAGTAATCAAAGACCGACACCTGATGGACCGATAAAACCTACTCAAAGGACATAGATGACAGAACACAGAGCAAAAATACTCGTAGAAGAACCTGAGCCGACATCCAAAGCACGCATCCCTGGCTGCAGCTTATCTTCAAGGAGCTGAAGGCATGTTGCATGCATATGCGGGGCAGAAATTGTGGCATTATAACCTATTGGCAAAGGAGTGTCAACATAAGCCGAGGAACCATCATCTGGTACAAAGTGACCTCTATCCAAAGCCTCCATAACTTCAGCAACTCTGTTCGACATTATCACACCATAACGTCGCAAATTCTCCACCATCGCTTTGTTCCTTGCCGAGTCACCCCGCGCCACAGAATGCTAACACCCAAAAAAACTGTCAAGACAGCAATACAAAGAAAGAGCAAAACACAAGTATGGAGCTAGAAGATCATAAAACCAGATTGATGATGCACCGATAATTTCCCCAATATGAACCTACTACACCAAGGAAGGATCATTCTGCTAAGCATGATCACACATGGAATACGGCTACCATTTCCGAAATATAATATTGTCCAATCAAACTTTTGATGGAAGCTCAAGCTGTAGTTTTGAACTCAGTACCTTTGGCAAAATTCCTTCCATGTGAGGAGTATTTACATGCTATGAGCAAATTCTAAAGTCCCCAGACATGACAAATTCTTAACAAGACGAAAACCACCATTGCAATATGTCCCATTAAATACAATCAAACACAAAGACATCTCCCAACCAGCAGAATCTCGAGCAAGGAGTGTCCCTGTACGAACAGTTCCAACTTAGCTATTGCACACAATCATAATCCTCTCCCCCAATCAAAGACCTCTGAGAACAGCTATGGGAGCGACATAAAGTTCTTCAACAGATATGCACAACACAAAAGAGGAGAGAAAGAGACCTCATAGCTCGAGATTTCTAACCAAAACAATGGAATTTCAATCTCAAGTTAGCATCACCAGAATCACCATTGCAATATGCCCCACCAAATGCAATCAAAACACAAGCATATCGTCGGACACAATTCCGAACAACTAGTATCCCTGTACCAACGGTCCTAACTGAAAACCAACCCAGTTCGAGTCTCCACTGATGGATGTTGGAGAAGGAAATATACTAGACAGTATTATCCCTATTTTTTATATGTAGAAACACTAATTCGAACCCGCAATCGCAGAAGTGAGTTTACCACTGAACCAAACCGGTCCTGACTAGCTTAACCATTATACACAACTAAAATCTTCTTCTCCGAAGGAAAACCTCGGAAAACAGCCATGGCGGTGCACGCAGTTCCCAACTGATACACAAAATACGATGAGAGAGAGAGAGAGAGAGAGAGAGAGACCTCCATGCGGAACAAAGGGCAGTGAAAGCCGGACAAGAGGCGAGAGAGATCGTTGTCGTGAGAGCTCTGGGAGAGGCTGAGAGTACAACAGCGAGAAGATCGGTGGTGGAGATGATGACGAGCGAAGGTTAAGAAGTGGCACGCACGTGGCGCACAATAGCGTCGACAGAACGCCGTTAACGTCGTCAGGGGCAACACCTGTGCTCGCATTTTTTTTCCGCTCTTATTAGCAAAAATTTAGATTTTCTGGTAACACGTTCCAGTGTCTTCTCCCGTTCTCTATTGTCCCGTTCATTTTCGAGATTTTAACAAAGCAGTTGGATGCCACGTGTCCTTATCCATTCATGGGCTTTCACAAATCCAAAGTAAATGGGCCCAATAAAGAGAACGGCAATATTTGGGTTTTTTCCCCCTCTCTCGTTCATTGTTTGTAGCAAGTAGAGCAATAAGCAAATAAGCAGACATTGGTTGGTACCGAGTTGTAGGAGAAAACAATAAACAACAAAATTACGCAAAATGTATCCGTGGTGGTTCATGAAGACAAAAATGGCTTAAAATATGGATAAAAGAACCAAACAAAATCACCATAATGGCATCATGTTTATAGATCTATAACCTTGATACACGACATGTTCATACTCCAAGTTTCGAATACATCATACTTTCCTAGTGTGTGAAAAAGCATGCCATCATAATCCATTCTACAAATAAAAACTTTAAGAAAAGACGAGATGGGCTAATTTACTTCTTCAATACAGTTTCAAACTCCTAGCTTTGTCCATAGCGTCCTCGGCAT